TTAAAGTAACCGTACATGTTATGTTCTGTGTAAGAATACAGAGCATACTTAAGGATATGTGGCACACACACACTTCGTTGGGGTGATTTAACTCTTTCAGATATGTGTGACATCCGTAGTTCTCCTCCAATCATTACGTATGTTCTACACTGAATAAGATTGATTCATTAAACCGCGACTTCAGTAAATAACAAAAGGTATTAAATAAACATCAAAAAACTATATACATCACAAACTATCAGTAATGCCGGCAACTCTAAATGTTAAAACTACAGCCGATGTCACATGAGTTCTCACGCGAGCCTGAACCCAATCTTCAATTGTTATGTCCTAATCTATATGTACATAAAACGTGTTCTGTAATGTGCCCCTTTAGATATATTAAATCATCAGACACCAGCTTACCGATAGCATGTGTGTTACGTTTGTTTAAACACTAACGACGGAATCGTGATCGAATTTGCATGAAACGTGCAGTCACCGTAATGTTCTCCCCCTCATTAATTAGAAAAGTATGTTAGGTGACCCATACACTTAGTGTCTATTGTAGGATTATATTAGGTCACTGTTGGTGTATTAATTATACCGGATGTTTGAAAGATTACAACAGGTACAATAATTAGTCTGTGTGAGGCAAAGCAGTGTATGTCAGGAAATAAGAAAATTGATGTGATAATAAACATTTATACAAGCTACAATATACTTCATGAAATATTTCGGAACATTTTCCTCGTGTTGGTAATGTCAATAGAGTAGAAGTATTTTAAACACAACCAGTAGAGTGTGACGTTTTGTATACTGTCACCATCGAATTTCTCAGAGATGACCACTGTGAAGTGTACTTGCACTGACTAAATTGTGTACGAAATTGTTACTTATCAACCGACCTTTTCGGCTATATTAAAACCCTGTAAATACTAAGGTAGAAACAGTGTGACGAAATTGTAAAACATTGCAAAAATAAGTTCACAAAATTCGGCTAAGCTTGTATGCATGTAACACTTGGTCATAGACGAATGCCGCCTTGGCCAGCCGCCTGAAAAGTTTGTTTTCTCTGTCGACTGTTTTGGAGTTTTGCAAATCCATGATATGACTTTGCTGTGTGGAATGATTTGAAGTGTCGATTTATTAACCTGGGTTTGATTGGTGATTGGTACGCGTAGATCAATAAATCGTCAACCGATTCCTTAGCATATATAACACAGATGTAAGTTTTTACCAACATCAACGCAAGATCACCTTTAGACTAGGGAGTCGTCTCCAAATTACAAAACAGTCAATCCCCAGACGACTCCGACCCATGAGGGGAGCACCCCCTCATGTCGGTAGAGAATCAACACACGTCGTTTTGACTCTGCCCGGCGACGGGCAGAGTCAAGGAGACGATAAATTTTCATCGTCATCATCATCATCATCATCATCATCATCACATACCAACATCACTCTCGTCATTTGTCTGATGAAGGTGACAGTGTGGTCATCGAAACCTTACACTTCTGCTGGTTGTGTTATAAGAACTTCTATTCAACATTTACCGAAAGAAGATATTACAAAAAAAAAGAGAAGCATTACGCATATTCAAGTGGTCATTGTAGAGGATTAGGTACATGTACAGGTGTGTCCAATCAGAACACACAGTCAATAGGAGAGTTAGGTACATGTACTGGTGTGTCCAATCAGAACACACAGTCAATAGGAGTTAGGTACATGTACTGGTGTGTCCAATCAGAACACACAGTCAATAGGAGAGTTAGGTACATGTACTGGTGTGACCAATCAAAACACACAGTCAATAGGAGAGTTAGGTACATGTACTGGTGTGACCAATCAGAACACACAGTCAATAGGAGAGTTAGGTACATGTACATGACCAATCAGAACACACAGTCAATAGGAGTTAGGTACATGTACTGGTGTGACCAATCAAAACACACAGTCAATAGGAAAGTTAGGTACATGTACTGGTGTGACCAATCAAAACACACAGTCAATAGAAGTTAGGTACATGTACTGGTGTGTCCAATCAGAACACACAGTCAATAGGAGAGTTAGGTACATGTACTGGTGTGACCAATCAGAACACACAGTCAATAGGAGAGTTAGGTACATGTACTGGTGTGTCCAATCAGAACACACAGTCAATAGGAGTTAGGTACATGTACTGGTGTGACCAATCAAAACACATTCAATAGGAAAGTTAGGTACATGTACTGGTGTGACCAATCAGAACACACAGTCAATAGGAGTTAGGTACATGTACTGGTGTGACCAAACAAAACACACAGTCAATAGGAGAGTTAGGTACATGTACTGGTGTGACCAATCAGAACACACAGTCAATAGGAGAGTTAGGTACATGTACAGGTGTGACCAATCAGAACACACAGTCAATAGGAGTTAGGTACATGTACTGGTGTGACCAATCAGAACACACAGTCAATAGGAGAGTTAGGTACATGTACTGGTGTGTCCAATCAGAACACACAGTCAATAGGAGAGTTAGGTACATGTACTGGTGTGTCCAATCAGAACACACAGTCAATAGGAGAGTTAGGTACATGTACTGGTGTGACCAATCAGAACACACAGTCAATAGGAGAGCTATGTACATGTACAGGTGTGACCAATCAGAACACAAAGTCAATAGGAGAGTTAGGTACATGTACAGGTGTGACCAATCAGAACACAAAGTCAATAGGAGGGTTAGGTACATGTACTTGTGTTACCAATCTGAACACACAGTCAATAGGAGTTAGGTACATGTACTGGTGTGTCCAATCAGAACACACAGTCAATAGGAGAGATAGGTACATGTACTGGTGTGACCAATCAGAACACACAGTCAATAGGAGTTAGGTACATGTACTGGTGTGTCCAATCAGAACACACAGTCAATAGGAGAGTTAGGTACATGTACTGGTGTGACCAATCAAAACACACAGTCAATAGGAGAGTTAGGTACATGTACTGGTGTGACCAATCAGAACACACAGTCAATAGGAGAGTTATGTACATGTACAGGTGTGACCAATCAGAACACAAAGTCAATAGGAGGGTTAGGTGCATGTACTGGTGTGACCAATCAGAACACACAGTCAATAGGAGTTAGGTACATGTACTGGTGTGTCCAATCAGAACACACAGTCAATAGGAGAGTTAGGTACATGTACTGGTGTGACCAATCAGAACACACAGTCAATAGGAGAGTTAGGTACATGTACTGGTGTGACCAATCAGAACACACAGTCAATAGGAGAGTTAGGTACATGTACTGGTGTGTCCAATCAGAACACAAAGTCAATAGGAGAGTTAGGTACATGTACTGGTGTGTCCAATCAGAACACACAGTCAATAGGAGTTAGGTACATGTACTGGTGTGTCCAATCAGAACACAAAGTCAATAGGAGAGTTAGGTACATGTACTGGTGTGTCCAATCAGAACACACAGTCAATAGGAGTTAGGTACATGTACGAAAGTTAGGTACATGTACTGGTGTGACCAATCAAAACACACAGTCAATAGGAGAGTTAGGTACATGTACTGGTGTGACCAATCAGAACACACAGTCAATAGGAGAGTTAGGTACATGTACTGGTGTGACCAATCAGAACACACAGTCAATAGGAGAGTTAGGTACATGTACTGGTGTGACCAATCAAAACACACAGTCAATAGGAAAGTTAGGTACATGTACTGGTGTGACCAATCAGAACACACAGTCAATAGGAGTTAGGTACATGTACTGGTGTGACCAATCAGAACACACAGTCAATAGGAGGGTTAGGTACATGTACTGGTGTGACCAATCAGAACACACAGTCAATAGGAGAGTTAGGTACATGTACTGGTGTGACCAATCAGAGTCAATAGGAGGGTTAGGTACATGTACTGGTGTGACCAATCAGAACACACAGTCAATAGGAGAGTTAGGTACATGTACTGGTGTGACCAATCAGAACACACAGTAGGAGTTAGTCAATAGGAGAACACACAGTTAGGTACATGTACTGGTGTGACCAATCAGAACACACAGTCAATAGGAGAGTTAGGTACATGTACTGGTGTGACCAACCAGAACACACAGTCAATAGGAGGGTTAGGTACATGTACTGGTGTGACCAATCAGAACACACAGTCAATAGGAAAGTTAGGTACATGTACTGGTGTGACCAATCAGAGCACACAGTCAATAGGAGTTAGGTACATGTACTGGTGTGACCAATCAAAACACACAGTCAATAGGAGGGTTATGTACATGTACTGGTGTGACCAATCAGAACACACAGTCAATAGGAGTTAGGTACATGTACTGGTGTGACCAATCAGAACACACAGTCAAAAGGAGTTAGGTACATGTACTGGTGTGACCAATCAGAACACACAGTCAATAGGAGAGTTAGGTACATGTACTGGTGTGACCAATCAGAACACACAGTCAATAGGAGTTAGGTACATGTACTGGTGTGACCAATCAGAACACACAGTCAATAGGAGTTAGGTACATGTACTGGTGTGACCAATCAGAACACACAGTCAATAGGAGGGTTAGGTACATGTACTGGTGTGACCAATCAGAACACACAGTCAATAGGAAAGTTAGGTACATGTACTGGTGTGACCAATCAGAACACACGGTCAATAGGTCGGTTAGGTACATGCTGACATCGATATGATGGGAATGATGAGAAATAATATTTTCGTTTATTGAATATTAACGATATTTGCATAGTTTCAAACATTGCATCTCTGTTTCAGTTGTAATCAGAGATATATGTAGTCATTCGCATATTGATTCATTTATCTTCTTTTGTTTATTTGGTTGTTTTTTGGTTTTGTTTGTTTGTTTTACATGTTATTTGTTTTTTTGTTTTTTTGTTTTTTTTTCTCTGCTTGATTTTTTTTTTTTTTTATTTCTGCTTGAATTTTATTTCTCATGTCATTGTTTATTTCTTTCCGGATTCTTCTGTCCGCTTATTTGTATTTAGTTAGAAAATCCAATATGGCTGACAAAAGGGAATCTGGTGAGTCTCTGATGACTAAAATTTAATAAGAATCAATAAATAGGTTCACAAACGAAGGACATTATCTGAAATTGACTTTTTCGGAAGCATAATACATTTTAGCACAGATTTACTTGTTTTGAACTGTTTTAGTCAAACTTTGATTGATTGACATGTGTATACTCTTTTGCCGCTCGACCGGCAACGCTAGCGCCGACAATGTGATAATATCAATAGAGCCCGATCATTTTCAGATTTCTAAATCACACGTTTACATCTTAAATATATATTTTTATATGAGAAGAAATGTGGGTATATAATATATTTAATTACACTATAATAGCATTGTTGTTTAACTTATTTTGGTCCTAGATCTAGAATGATTCAAGAGAGACAACCCTTGATACTTCTTTTCCCATACGATAAACTTATATATGGCTCGAATGAACATTATTATAACCACAAATACAATACATACATATAATCGTTATATACATGTATTTCTGTGCTCAAACCACTCTCAAAACACATGTAGTTCTCTAACGGGTACATATTTGACCTTTACAGATCAGAAGTTTAAATTTGTATTTCAGGAAGAGTGAAAGATCTTCAGCAGAAACGTGTTCTTGATGATGCTGCACGACGACGTAGACAAAGAAAAGCGCTTGAAGCCTTAGAGTCTGACAATTTTCAGGATGACCCACATGCTGATCTCAAAATGAGCAAAAAGGCTCCCAAATTTGAGGAATCAATGGATACTGGTATTCCACAATGCAATATGTTTTTCCATGTGTCCATGAATGGATTAAGATGAATTTTTTTTAGCAGAAAAATTATGTAAATTACCACAGATCTTTACAAAGTGTTTTCTTTGTGAATTCAACTTTTACTTATTACATGTAGCTGCTGAATGGATATTTGACTAAAATAATTAATATAAAAAATAAAAATAATTAATGGAATAAGGCTTCAAAATGAAGCAACGTTTTCTTTAATGATCCTATTACTTTTACATGCAATGTAATTAGTGTATTACATCACAGTGACATGATATAAGGTAGTGATTGTGGCCATGATATTAAGTATACTGGTTACTCTCTAAAGGTTATGAAACTGCAGATATCTTCAAGTTTCCGATTGACAGGGCTATCTAGTCAGGGCTCTCACACCCCATTTTGGGACTGGGGCCTGGGGCCCTTAGAATTGGGGGAAATAATGGTGTTTTCCGTAGAATTGGGAAAACTTGGGGTCTAAATTGGGAAAAAAAGACACTATTTTGCATTGGGAATATTCCGCCCCAAATCTGGCAGATTGAGAGCCCTGCTAGTTGTACTTCTTTGAATTTCCATGCTTAAGCGAAATCTTAATATGAATTAGATATCAATAATCACAGATGTTTAGATGGTAAATGGTGTTTTCTCAGACTGAACAACAATTTGTATTGTAATTTTCAATAATTGCTCAACCAAAAATTATAATGATTCATCAAAAATTTGTTAATCAGGTGCAGTTGACACATAAAATGTATTGTTAACTAAAACAACTGAATTAATTCTTTTTGTAGTAGAATTGCCAGTGAAAAAAACAATTTAGATTTGAACTATAGATGTCTCCTGATATTGCACACCATCATATCTGATACATGACCTGAAATGTTTTGAAGACAATTGTCAAAACACAACAAACAAAATGTCTCTAAACTTTTTATTTCGAAACAAATGAAGCTGAATGTTATATATGTATCTAGCTCCTAATACTATAGAAAAGACTGTTAAGCTTGTTATTATCTCTGGGAAAGTTTTCAACAGTTTTCATTTGAAACAAGATGTAACAGATGATATCAACATGTAATATATGGGAATATTGCTTCTGTTGTCAAGTTTCAAATATGTGATTGTTGATAAATCAGTCAAACACCATTATGATTCATAATATAAGAATGATAATGATATGTGATTTACAGTATTCAGACTGTATTAAATATATTTCGAATCTGATACAACTTAGTCTGTTCACTCAAATTTAATGGTTGAAATATCCTGATATAATTGGAATGTTGGTTAGTGAAAGTACAAAGTGACAAGAGTCTGAAGTTGAAGTTCAAATATAATATTCTATAAATTGGAAGATATCTAATAATACATATAATATGATACATTTTTGCGACGATGATTCTACAATGCGAAATCGCAGTTAGCATCATCCCTTCAAAAATATCTGATAACTAAGCCATTATCTACCATACAACATGTAACTTGTAGTGGCTATCACAAGTGACCAACCAAGTTTCAAGAACAGTAGCTTGTGACTGCTTGCTGTTTGTAGAAACTGGTGACTTGTCAATATAGAAATGACCTGTGGTTCATGACCATTTCTCCAGATATATTACCAAACATATCATGCATCTAATGAACTAGTACTTCAAAATATTTTAATGATTCATATCATAAATGTATTTTTCTCTAAAGGACAACCAGTGTCAAAGAAGAAACGAAAGAGCAAGAGTGACCACTTCAAGTTTAAATACAAGAAAAGTTTTTCAGCACTACTAGAAGAAGAGGTATCTAAATTGAATGATCAACATTGCTGAATTTTAAAGTTTATCATATTTAGTCAATAGGAAGTTGATAGGAAAATTAAGCTAATGGTAAATGTAAAGGTGATGATCCTGATTAATTTTTGGAGTATTGTTGACTGCCCTAAAACTATGTGCATCAGATATTTAAATTTAGCACATCTGGTATAATTCAATATTTTTCTTTAACAACTCTGGTTCAAGGTAAATGTATTTTGTGTGACTTTCAGCATATGTCAAACAGAGACACTCCAAACTACTTAACTGCCAGTATACCACCTTCAAGGTTCCCAGAGAGGCGTTTCTGTGCTGTGTGTGGATATCCTTTCAAATAATTTCTTAAATACAACATTGTTATACATATTTATATATATTGTAGATCAATGGCATATATGTATACAGGGTTTTCCATAAGAGCCTGTCGCCGGCCAATTTGATCGGCTACTTTGATCATTTGGCCGCCTACACCAATCCAGTTCTGTAATAATGTTCCATACACAACTACACGCACACGGCAGGCCACCCCCACCTGGTGGCGTTTTGGCTCGGATCGGCTGGCTTCGCCAGTCTCCTACTTTCACTACACAACCTACTACTAACAAAATTATGGAAAACCCTATGTATATGTTCTCAATGTACCTGTATCACAGTCATTTGCCTATAACAATATACAGGACTTAGAACACAGTGATAACACAAGATTACATTAAGGAGTCACAAAACAGTAATAACACAGAATAACATCAAGGATATAGAATACCATGATAACACAGGATCACATGAGGGACATAGAACACAGTGATAACAGAGAATAATATCAAGGACATAGAATACAGTGATAACATAAAATTACATGAGGAACATAGAATAAAAATAAAAACACAAGATCACATAAAGGACTAACAAAACAGTGATAACACATCAAATCAAGCATAAAAAATATAATGATATTAAAGGATCACATAAAGGACATAGAATATATTTTTAACACAGGATCACATGAAGAATATAGAATATATTTATAACATAGGATCACATAAAGGACATAGAATATATTTATAACATAGGATCATATAAAAGACATAGAATATATTTATAACATAGGATCACATAAAGGACATAGAATATATTTATAGCATAGGATCACATAAAGGACATAGAATATATTTATAACATAGGATCACATAAAGGACATAGAATATATTTATAACACAGAATCACATAAAGGACATAGAATATATTTATAACATAGGATCACATAAAGGACATAGAATATATTTATAACACAGAATCACATAAAGGACATAGAATATATTTATAACATAGAATCACATAAAGGATATAGAATACAGTGAAGTTTTCTTGTTTTCTCCTCTGATTTTGGAACTGTTCAAGTCAATATTAAATGAGTTGCAATAAAAGCCTTCCTTGCTCATAGTATGCTTTTGATTTTTAATCCATATAATTTAAATTAGAGGCGTTAGGCTTGTAAAGAAACCAATGGAGCTGTCGTTGTGGATGTGAAATAAAGATAGGAATGACATATAGACATGATATTGATCATACACATGATCTGTATATAAAATGATTAAGAAAGAAAATTTATCATATTATTTCTTTAACAAACTCACGTTTCCATCAAACTACACCTGTGTACAGTGTGGAGCGAGATACTGTTGTGTTAGATGTTTAGGGACCCATCAGGATACTAGGTAAGTCAAGGAACTTTTAGGATACTAGGTAAGTCAAGGGACCTATCAGAATACAAGGCAAATCAAGGGACCTTAAGGATACTAGGAAAGTTCAGGGACCTTAAGGATACTAGGTAAGTCAAGGGACCTATCAGAATACTAGGCAAATCAAGGGACCTTAAGGATGCTAGGAAAGTCAAGGGACCTTATAGATACTAGGTAAGTCAAGGGACCTTAAAGATACTAGGTAAGTCAAGGGTCCTTAAGGATACTAGGTAAGTCAAGGGACCTTAAGGATACTAGGTAAGTCAAGGGACCTTAAGGATACTAGGTAAGTCAAGGGACCTTAAGGATACTAGGTAAGTCAAGGGACCTTATGGATACTAGGTAAGTCAAGGGACCTTAAGGACTCTAGGTAAGTCAAGGGTCTTTAAGGATACTAGGTAAGTCATTGGACCTTAAGGATACTAGGTAAGTCAAGGGACCTTAAGGATACTAGGTAAGTCAAGGGACCTTATGGATACTAGGTAAGTCAAGGGACCTTAAGGACACTAGGTAAGTCAAGGGACTTTAAGGATACTAGGCAAGTCAAGGGTCCTATCAGGATAAAAGATATTGAAAACAATACTTGATTAATCAATATTTTTAAAAACCACACGAATTATTCAATGCACAGATGAATGTGTATTTTTCAAAGATCAGATGCATGTATATTTTTCAAAATACTTATTACAATATTTCCTTTCATATTAAGGTGCTTGAAATGGACAGCTTGAACATTTCCGTCGTATCCTAGTGACAAGTGCCACACTGTTTGGAAAGACAGAAAATTCCCAAGGAAGCATAGACACCAAGAAGCCTTTAGTGTCAATCTGGTTAGCTCACTGTGACATGTCAACTACCATTGACATAACATACTGGTCCAGTACAGACATGAGTGAAGGACACTGTTTCTATCACACTTGGTGAAACATGGGACATGATAATTCTATGACTGCCGTGAATCTCCACTGATTTCATCATACATCAAGTGGAGATTATTTAGCTGGACATTATGAAAGTCACAGGAAAGTACTTCTCTAATGCTTGGCTTTTGAATATCAGTTCAACACTCAAAGAGAACTGAGCCTGTCATGAATAAAACTTCCTTAATCCGATCAAATTGTATCAAGGATGTTAGTCACCATGAAGTAGAGCCAAAATCAGCTGATTCCCAAACAGAAAAAGGATATTATTTTTCCAAAATGGATACAATGTCTTACAGAATATTTATATATTCACTCATTGATATAAATTTTATGGTAATTTATCAAATGTTCAAGCAAATGTTGATGTAGATCGAGTATCCGCTCAGTCTTGTCATGGTACAATGGACATTCACTGACAAGAATAAGTTAACCTTATGTCATTCGCTTGGTGTTTGATTTAGCCATTTTCTATGTTATATGAAAAGATGATATTCACTGAGATAAACATCTGACAAAGTGACGGTTTATATATTTCTCACTTGAATTTAGTTTCTGTGTATAATGGATCTGCTATAAATTTGTAAAATATTTTTGTAGAGATGTAAATAAACAATGATTTTTACATGGAAAACAAATCATATTCTTATTGATATACATGTATATTACATGTACACAAGACGTAATGTACTGCTGGGTGACAGACATGGAATATAACACAGTATACTGACTGTAGGGTTTGTAATTTGTACAAAGTGCCTGTGGCCGCTATTTTGAATCGGGGAACTGTGTAGGGATTAGATATGCTAAAATGAAATAAATTATAAATCCTTCATGGAAATTTGAGAGGACAATTTAATTAGTTTTAGCCCAACTACAGATCTTATGTATTCACTGATCTGGCACAAGTAACAATTTCGGTATCATTATACATGTACTTCCCAAGAACGTGTTTTTAAATTAAGTTGACACTAGGCCTTATTTTTTATTTGAGACATCTGCCCTGTACTGGTATCCGTATCAAACATGTTTACTCTGTGTACAATTTTTACAAATTAATTCATAATAGTTCATGTGTGCTTAAAACGGAGATTTGGACAGTAAAACATTCAACAATATGCTCCATGTTGGCCATTTTGAAAATCTTCCAGAACAGAGACATGATTTTAGTTTCCAATAGCCAAGTCAATGTCAAGTAAAGAACTTCCAAGGCCTCCTTCTGAGCCAGACAGTTTTTGATAATCGGTCCTCTTTATTTCAAATTTGAGACAAATCAAAATACTTCAATGTGAATTTATTAGTTCATATTACATCACATGTACACCCCACTCACCCAGTCCCAGTTTCAATTTTGAAAATAACTTTCACAACATTTCCTGTCAATTCAAGATTAATTATAAGATATCAACAGACAAAGTGCATGTATTAAAATGAAGTAATTCAAACTCAAAATTTACATTAAAATTAGGCCAGACATGTGGAAAAAGGACAGATTGACAGTCTTTTGGATTAATACGAGGAGGATAAGACCAGAGTAAACTAATTTGCTTCATTGGTAACACCCTCCATGTGAATCTAGATGAAACCTTGAAACTAGCTTTCTATCAAAACCCAAAATGGTAAGATTTTCCGTCAACTGTCAACATCTCTAAGGGAAATAGTGTTATTCACATAGTGGCATTCATAGAATCAAAATCTATAGGCTTGGACATATAATGTCCTATTTTACGAAACAGCCTTATTGTGATATGAAAACAAAAACAAAAGATGGAAACGGAAATCATTATTTTGATCATAGAGTATGTCCATGCTTAATTAGTGTTGTAAGTAATAAAAGATCAGGACAAATGACAATGAATATGATGTTGTAATGTCCTTGAAATCTGGAAAAATTTCCGATAGAAAAGGTCAAAATAAAATTCCTCTTCATTTAAACACAAAATATTGTAATGATATCTAAGGAAAAATAACAAGACTCAGCAAGGTCTTTTGTTACCTCTTTGATAAATTCCACAAGAAAGAAACAAGGCCATTTAGACTTGTTCTATCATATTACTGTATAATGTCCTTTTGAAAATCCTGATCAATCTCTATAACATTTATTGAATACATATGTAGTCAAAGCCCGATAAACTGCATTCTGAATTAGGGACTCTACAGGCTATCAATTTATGTTTACTTCAGTTGTAAAGTTCATGTGTCATCTTTTTTTCTATGAATACTTTTATTGTTGTTTAAAGTAATGACACAACCAATATGGATGCCTGGTTGATTGAATCACTGGCGTCAATTTGAATTAGTGTAATGTACATGATGTATATCAAAGACGGGGATGGTATCATATTTCATTCATTACAACATACCTCTAAATTGATTCTGTTTTTATACGCCCATCGAAAGACTGACGTATTATGGTATGGCGCTGACGTCCGTCCGGCGTCCGGCATAAACTTTTTCCTACATTTTTCAGCCGATCTTTATGAAACTTGGTAGGCTTAATCACTATGATATGAAATTGTGTTTTCCTGAATGGGGTTTTGACTAGACGATTTGAATAAGAGTTATGCCCCTTTGTTTATTTCACTATAGAAATCTTGTCCGGAGATCTCCAACATTTTTCAGCTGATCTTTATGAAACTTGGTAGGCTTAATCACCATGATATGAAATTGTGTTTTTCCTGAACGGGGTTTTGATTAGACGATTTGAATAAGAGTTATGCCCCTTTGCTGTTTTGGATATTCACGGGCGTATTTTGTTCCGCTTTGCGGTACTCTTGTTAAAAAGTAGTTGCTGATTGGTTGTTTAGTCTTTAATTGTACCAATTGGAAACCAAGATTTGCTCATGTGTGAAGCAAGAGATTGAATCGCATCACACTTTGAGTCGTGTGCCTTTTGTTACTGTTTCCTATGACGATAACTTCATTTTAATGAACGGTGCAGGTAGTTACCATAGTCATGTTTTAACTCAACTCGCCACGTGTTCCATACTGAGAACACTTCGCCACATCGTAACTGTCATTGCTAGTAGCATTTCTATGTGGGAAGAACCATTCTGAGAGCCCTCTCAAATTTCATATGTAGGTTCTGCCTGGTCTCTTGTCTCCAATTTTGGGACTGATGAGCAAAACAAAATGGCCGAAAGGTGACCATCTTGGATTTTGACTTTGAAAGTTTGTTATCGCTATTTCTTGTGAAGTACTCGATGGATTTTTCATTAATTTGGTATGTAGGTTCCCCTTTGTCCACAGTTGTGCCCGTTTAATTTTTGGGTCTAACCAGAAAAACAAAATGGCCGAAAGGCGGCTATCTTGGATTTCGACTTCGAAAGTTTGTTATCGCTGTTTCTTAAAAGTGCTTGATGGATCTTTTTAAAATTTCATATGCAGGTTCTCCTTGGTCCCTAGTTGTGCCAATTTGATTTTGGGTCTGATCAGAAAAAACAAAGTGGTCGACAGAAGGACATCTTAGATTTTGACTTCGAAAGTTTGTGATTACTATTTCTTGAGAACTACTGTAGAGATCTTTCCCAATATCTTGTATTGGGTTCTTTATGTCCCTAGTTGTGCCTATTTGAGTTTGGAACTGATCGGAAATACAAATGGCCGACTGGCAGCCATCTTGATTTTACCTAGTTAAAGATTGTTATTTCTGAGGAAGTACTGAATGGATATCTTTAAAATTTCTTACGTATATTCCCTTTGGTCTCTGAGTCTGTGTGTGCTCGTTTGCTTTTGGTACTGATCAGAAGGAGCTAAATGGTTTCCAGGTGGCCATTTTGGATTTGGCAGGTAAAGATTATCATTTATTTCTGCTAAGAAATGTTCAAAGTCTTATCATTAAGAGCAAAAACAGAGAAAAGAAGGGAAAAGATCAAACTTTTAAGGAGCATATAAAGATTAAACAATGGTGGGCGCCAAGATCCCTCTGGGATCTCTTGTTTAGATATGTGTTCCATTACATAGGTTTTAAAGCTCACCTGGCTCGAACACTTCTTTAAAATCCTCCTTATTAGATAGGAACATATGTTTTTTTCCCGAGGTATCTGTGTGAAGGGAACTTACGTTTGTATAAACGGCAGGTCTCGCTCTCCTGAAGACTGAGGGGTGTGACCCAAAAGGGTTTGTTGTAAAACGTCAAATACTTATTTATAGATATGCCTGATATCTACTTGCTCTATTAGAGAGTTCTTTTGTATAAAATTAAATTTTGATTTGAAATTATTTAATAAATTAAAGTTAAAAAATGGGTCTAATGCGTCTTCACACTTAATTTTGATATTTCTGATTTGATCGGTTTTGGTGCTCTACTGTGATAGGGTTGAATATTTAGACTGCTTACACCACACGTGTTACAGTTAAATTCATTATCTGGCTATTTAAGTCTAAGGTATAGAAGGGCGCGATTCACTTGAGTGTCTGTTCAACAATCACCTCAACATCGGTATTTTATGTGCACAGATTCGACGACAGAGTTCAATATTTTCTATGACACGAGCATTGTTGGAAACAGTCGGAAATTGCTGGATTTTAAATCGATCGTTCACTTACTCAGAGGATTTACTGCAACCAGGGACGTATTATACGTGCCTGCTACAACAGAAATACAAATGTGCAACTTTTGGGTGTTTGAAATCGTCTTTAGAATACTAAAGAAAATCTATGATATGTATTCGTACGGTATATGTACAGTACACAGATTCAACAAGGATTTTAGGATTAACCTTACAGCACACAATTCTATATCTGATAAGTACTGTAATACTAAACGACAATATGGTATAGGCTGTGTAAGGTAGATGTATATTGTAAACCATTGACCTGGTATGACCTGACACGGCGTCACACACTAAGTTGGTACGTCCCTTTTATTGACATTGACCAAACACTCTCACCATAGGTATATTTTTCTTATCTCCTATGACATACTCACAGTCCTATCATCTAAATATCGCTGACCGGTCATGTTTATGACTCCTGATACCAGACACACCATTGCTATAGCTTTTGTGTGTTGAAAAACACGTAAATTTCAATTTGGACACATTTTGCGGGAACTTGTATTTTTATGGGTTATTTCAGTAAATATAATGTTACTTTCCGTATAGTAAACTGACATAGTGGAACAGTACAATATAAGGAATTAACTGCTTTCTGTAATTCAATAGATTCGTTCTACATTACATGCGCTACATCATTGCTGATGACTTCTGGTCAACAGGCGGCAATTTGGAAACTAAAATGGAAGTAAGATACATAAAAACATGCACTGACACACTAATCTCGAGTAAGTCGAAAGTTATGCCGTTTTTTATTTATTTATTTTTTGCTTTAGGGGAAGTTGGCTGGGGGGATTATGAAGAAAAATGGTTAACTCATTAGAAGTCGGTAATTGCAGTAACTGAGCTATACCACATTGCTGCTGTCACTATTTTCATCATTTCGAGTGCAGTTATAACGCGCATAATTAATGGGCTGTGTTATATCTGTAATATTACACGGGTTATAACATAGCACGCTTTAGTAGATCTACGATATCAGTTGATAACAGGTAGTATACTTACGTAATTCCACATTTTATGAGATATTCGTGATTTTCTGTCGGCATAGTTAAAACGTTGTTTTCT